TGTTTAGAGGAAGCCATCTTCCAGCATGACAGATCATTAAAACAGCCTTCGCCTTCTTACTGAACATCATGTTGACTTTATTCCCTGTGAATATTTAGGTTTTAAAGGAGTACGTTGTTATCTTGTTTGTTCGAATTGCTATGACCGTCTTACATCATATTCTGAATACTAAGACGAGATAGCGCGCACTATTTGTGATTTGTTGTGTTTGTCCACGAACTTTTGGTTCACTTGAAACCAATTCTGAGGTAATGTATTCGTATTAATTTTTCAATCGCATGGTAATAACGCGGAGTTTTTGTTTACTAATTTGCGCTTAGTGCCCAAGAATGCGTTGCTTTTTGTCCAAGTGACATCAGGGCATTCCTCCATGTTGTTAACCATTGATAAAAAGTTACAGTTTTCTTGATGTCATTTTAGTTCTTTGAAGTTGTTACTAACAAGTGCTGGAAATGCCCTCATCTGGGAACGTAAACCCATCTCAACTTGAATTGAATTTTAAAACAAGGGTCAACAATCTTACTCATAAGGATGGTAGTCGCACTGACCCAACCAGCTACCGTCCGATAACACTGCTCTCTATAAGTTCCAACATTTTGGAGTATACCATCGCCGATGCACTCATACCACGTCTGGAAAATCAAAACAAGGTAGCCCTGGAGCAACAAGGCTTCAGAAAGTATCGCTCATGCAATGCGAACCTGCAAGTTCACACACGCGTGAAGTGCGTGCTACTGGTTCAATTGGATTATTCTCCTCTATCCTTTCTTCATCTTCTCCTAGCGTTGTCAAAGTACGCTCAACCGAACAGGATTTACCCGCCCTACCCATTGATCCATCATACATGGAACTATCTTCACGATTAAAGTCCGTGCCATCACTAACCGTTTTGCTGGCATTCGTGGTTAATCACACTGAGCCGCTTGCCTTTCTGTGTAACGCCCTTCGATACAGAATTCTCGAAGCACTCCGAAAATCCTAAGCTTATTCAGACCCAAAGTTTACCAAAACTGCTGTGAAATAATTTGAGATCCCTCAACCTGTGTTCATCGCTGTGTTCAGATTTAGTTAGCAGTTTCCAGTCCCTGGCCATTCCTTGTGAACTCTTCAGCCAGTGCTCTTGCATAACCTATCACATGGACCGCGCAACCACACCGATCGCTCGTTCGACCTTGCAACCACCACGCTCGCCTGACCGATGTGCGCTGCTCTCAAAGCTGTAAAAGTACAGAAGGCCAACCAATCCAATGGGTGAAGAAAAGTTACCATGTTGAATGGCAGAAATGCAAAAGCGAAAAGGCTCCAAGCGAAAAGCATTTGCGGGTTAGGAGCATGTCCTCGAGTAGGTAAAATAGGTCTGACTTGCTCGCATTGTTTGATACGGTATACTCCGAAATGTGCACATGTGTCCCAAAAAACTGGTACGAGAGCGAAATAGCTTGTAAGATGCACTTTAGTTCTGTACTACGTGCTTCACCATCCCACACGTTAAGTGCTTGCTTGTGTAAGTCCAGAAGTGCTCCCGGTTAATCGCAAAAACCCAGCAAATGATAAACGAAAAGATTACTTTAATAGAAGCGGATATGCACCAGGGAAGCATAGTGGCTCCTCAGCAACGGAATGCAGCACTATCTGCTCCCTTTGAACCGCAATCAGTTACGGCACCATCTCTGTTGTCTTCCCCATCTTTGGTAGAATGCCGTAAGAAGGTACACCGTGCCTAAGAGAGTCGGACACAACTAACTGCAACGAAAATCAGGCACCACTCGAAACGTCTGCTTAAGCAAATTTTACTAGACCTAACATCTGGCATTAACAAGGTGAAGCAGCCGTACCAAAACTTATGGTAACTGTAGCTCAAGTGTCTCTTGTCGACACAACTCCCCCCGGAACGTCAGTTAAACATGCAGAGTTTGCTGCAAAGGTAAGCCTGGAGGCCGTGTTGCGAGCTCTTCTGTTTGAAACACTCTTGGCCCGAATAGAGGGCTAAACAGTAAAAATCAACGCTTGTCAGCAGGTCAGAACTAACGATTACCTTACCTTGTAGATCTACGAAAAGGGGATTCAACAATAGTGCCTCTACCCTTGTTTGCTCAAATGTCCCTGGATCTACCGCCATCACATTAGGGGATAATTTATCGGACGACAAAGACCAATGGAACTCATTATGAGTGCTGATGAGTGTCAAAGGCAAGCCCAAAAACCTATTACGAATTACTCGTCATACGAACTCGCCACACTATGGAGAACCCAAACTTATCCGAGTAATACTAGAATCCGCTACGGATGTAGAAACCGTTTTGCTCTCCGCAAGAGCACTAAAAGGAGGATCCTGTGGGATACGTATCAAATTTGATGTCCCTTGGATCGCGCGACAATCAACAATAAACACCGAAGACGGGCACAGCAAGCAAAACCGCCTAAACGCAATCTTCATACATTGAGTGTCAGAACATCTTTCTAACAATATTCAAGAGACCGGAAAGCACGATTTACAACATTGGCGGTTCATTCGTAAAAGAATTTCGTTGGATAATATTGTGGCGCTATCGCTCACCAGGATACTTCTCTCACCAAATTATAGAGGAAGCGGTCCCAGAATCCTAAAATTTGTGGTTTCGTCAGAGCAACAAATAAAGGAAGTTTTAATTTGATGGGGGAGAAATCAGAAACGTCTTATTTCTGAACTTCGGTTAATGGTCGCATAAGCTTTTCACAGTTCGAATATTAAAGTACCTGAAGCTGCAAGTGTACGGACCAATGTACAGAAGCGTAACTTGACTGCTGTTTTAATTGAATCTGACATAGTACTAAGCGTTGATTAGGACGCAACATGGCCGACGAGGTCTCATTATTCCACCAGAAAACGAGTAATTGCCTATCTCCCATTGGTCGGCATTATCCCACACTTGACCCCTTCACCCCTCTGTGGGTTTCTAGGACCGAGAAACTGGCCTGCTTGTATACGAATGCTCAGGGGGTTTTAATAAACTGGTTGAAACGAAAGATCGCTAAGCTTCCGGTACATATGATGTCATTAGTATCACCGAGACGTGGTTGCACACAGGAATGACGGACGCTGAAGTTTCGCCACCGGGCAAGTCGCTGATCCGGAACGATAGCCGCACAATAAAGGAGGGGTAATCCTGTATTATCAAAGCGACTTACAGTGCGAAGATATTGCGCATTCAAACTCGCAGTTTCTAGACTCTCTTGGATGCCGCTTGCAATTAAAATGGGGGGGGACGTTTACTTTATTGCCTTGGTTTACCGTCCCCCACTCTACACCCGAAACAGACTCCCACCTAGCGGCTGTTTTAAGATGAATTTTACTGCGAAAGTACACTCACATACTTATCATAGGTGATTTCAACCTAAATTGTGTAGCAACTCTTGCCAAGACCGGAGAACATTTCAAAGCCGGAATGCAAGATCTCGTAACCAGTGTTCCTCTTTACAATCACATGACTTTGCCCACTCTGTTCAGAACTGGTAACATGCCATCTGTGCTGGATCTTGTGTTTACCAACGAGGAGCATATGCTTGATGCTTTGGTTTTAGACTGCCCGTTGGTTCGCAATGATCACGCAGGCACCAGTTTCAAGTTCGTCTGTTATGCAGAATATCTAAAAGATAAGGATGGGACTGTGCGAACCATCCAAAGCTAAGATCGATCAGCCCAGCTCGTCAGCGCCACACCTTGGTCTTTCTTCGAAGAAGAACCCCGGAAGTCGCCTGGCTCGAGTTCGTCAAAATATTCATTCAGCTGACTGCAGTATCTTCAGAGACAAGCGCTCACAATAAGTGCAACTCAGTTGCTTTCGTGAGAAGCAGAACTCGAAAATGGATAACAGTACCCAACGCCCCATGGCGAGTGTACAGAGAAGCTCCAGCGCCAGAAACTTTGGACAACTATGTAGCGCATCATAAATACTGCACGCAATTTTTAAGCGAAGACAAAGCCGCCTATCAGCAGAACCTCGCAACAACCTTCAGTGCTAACCACAAACTGCAGCACAAGCATGTTAATAGCCTACGGAAGGTGAGGCAAGGATTTTCTCCACGCAGGACGGCTGATAGCCAAACAAGAATGGCTGTGGAAGCAGCAAACGCGCCGCGGATTCCATATGACCCCACGTTTCAGACTGTCTTGCCATCAAGCGATCTTTCAAGCTTTGTGGTCTCCGCTCTAGGACTAACCCACATCACTTTTACCGCGGAGGCTGTATTGCAATAGCTGACTTCTCTACGTAAACACAGCTCGCCGGGTGTTGATACCATTCGTCCAGAGGCACTAGAAACAGCAGCAAGCAAACTGGCAGGCGCTTTAGCTCGGTGTTTCTAGCGCTGCTTAGACAAGAATCAAGTTCCCACTATGTGAAAGCTTGGAGTAATAACTCCGAGCTAGAAAGGTGGGAGCAGAACTGATCCCGTCAACTACCGCCCAGTATCCTTTCTTCCTATATTGCCCGAGATCATAGAATCCATATTTGCCAACGCACTGGTGTGCTATTTGGAAAACTGTAACATAAGCACACCTGAGCAGCAAGGTTTCCGTTGACAACGGTTATGCAAAGCGCATGTACTAATCGCACGCAGTAGTTAGACGGAATCATCTGACGCTGGAGAAGGCGTTGATGTGATCTACATAGATTTTTCCTAATGTTTGTTTGCGATCTCAAAATTTGGTGATGGACCTAGGCGAACGCCGACCAGCATCTGCTTCAGAGTGATTTAGATACGGTGAAACCATGGTCAACCCAAAACTGACTGCATTTCATCATCAGTAAATGCAAGATGCTTTCCATCCGACATCAGGGCAGCTTACTCATACCGGCTCGGACGTCTCGGATTTTTGGATCAGCGTGTGCTGGATACTACTTTTGCCTCAGATTACTGTGTTATCCGCGTTTTATCTGTGTGAATTGTGTTCCAATGTTCATCCTTTGGCGTATTTTCCAAGCGGTGCAAATTTGGCGGCTATTCTTTGGCTACTTCCG